TTATCCGACGTTCTTTTGTTTTAGCTACGCGATGCAGTGATGCTAAAGTATAAGTGACGGGGTATCTATCTGTCTCTCTTATCTATTTATCTTTCTATCTATCTGTCTCTCTGTTTCTGTCTCTGTCTCTTATCTATCTATCTATCTGTCTCTGTCTCTGTCTGTTATCTATCTCTCTATCGGTGCCATTGTTTGTAAATCTCTAATAATAATAATACTTAGACTTAACTCAGATTTCTTAAATCCGGAAATTCAGAAAAAAATACCACGAAAAACTGGACAACAGAGCAAACATCAGGTGGAGAAAAGTTAACATCAGAAAGTGGATCTATCAAGGCGAGTCTTTCGTCACTGATTTTTGTAATTTGCTTTTGCTTTTAATTGAGTTTATTCGAAAGGCAAAGGCAGGTTATGTCAACAAAGAGGGAAATGTAAATACCATCTACTGTTTATGGAAAATCTTTGGGAAGAGTGAAAGGAATACTGAAAGATTGGTTAAGACGGTGTAAATGATCAGTAAAGATTTAGGATTGTGATTCGGGATAAGGAAATGGCGGTGTTGCGGCAATGAAGAGAGGAAAATTGGTTAGGCAGATGTTATTATACTACCAAATGGAGAGGCGATGAAGGAAGTTGAAAATAAAGGCTATATAAGTACCTCGGGATGTTAGAACGAAAAAAAATCAAGGAAAAGGAAACGGAAGATTGATTTAAATGTGAATATCTGAGAAGGACAAGATTGATAGTAATGTCAAAATTGAATGAAAACAATATGATAAGGCCAATGAATACATGGGCAACTTCTCTTTTAAGATCTGGAGATGATTTGCTGAAATGGGCCAAGGATGAAGTTGAGTGGATGGACAGAAGCACTCGGAAATAAAGCCTGAGGAGTGACGTTGCAAGGATGTATGCACCAAGACACAAAGGCGGAAGGCGGCTTATAAGTTGCGAGGAGTCTAAAGAGAAGAGAACAGCTCGGATTGGCATGTAAAGCAAAGCAATGAGACCAACGTTGAAAGAAGCAAACATAAAAGCGACTAACAGAACAGAGGAGACTGTAAGGCCGGAAGAATTCAGATGAATGCAAGAGAGAGAGAGAGAGAGAGAAAGATAGATAGATAGATAGATAGAGAGAGAGAGTGAGAGAGAGAGAGAGAGAGAGAGAGAGAGAGAGAGAGAGAGAGAGAGAGAGAGAGAGAGAGAGAGAGAGAGAGAGAGAGAGAGAGAGAGAGAGAGAGAGAGAGAGAGAGAGAGAGAGAGAGAGAGAGAGAGAGAGAGAGAGAGAGAGAGAGAGAGAGAGAGAGGAGAGAGTGTGAGAGAGAGAGAGAGAGAGAGAGTTAGAGAGAGATAGAGAGTTAGAAAGAGAGAGAGAGTTAGAAAGAGAGAGAGTGAGAGAGAGAGAGAGAGAGAGAGAGAGAGAGAGAGAGAGAGAGAGAGAGAGAGAGAGAGAGAGAGAGAGAGAGAGAGAGAGAGAGAGCAAGGCAGACATCAACGAAAGAGATCACGGTCTGGAAGGAGAAAAGAATGCATGGGCGATACATGAAAAAAAATAAAAATAAATAAATATACTAATGAAGATAAGACTCGGGGATGGCTCAAGATACGATGACTAAGGCTAGCACAGAGGCGTTGATATGAGGCGCACAAGACCAAGCGTCAATAGCAAATTACGTGGAACATCGCATACATTAAACATTAGATTCGCCTCTGTGTATGTTACCTGGAGAGACGGAAGGGACTGTCAGCCACATCATGAGCGAATGTTAAGATACCGGCCCATCGAGAAGATAAGACAAGGCATGATATCATTGCAAGAAATGTTCACTGGGAGTTGTGAAGAGAACTTAATTTTAAAAAGAGAGAACAAGTTATTCGAACATAGACCGGAGGGAGTTACAAGGAATGGAAATGTCGAAGGATTGTGGAATTTCAACATTCAACGCGACCATGGGATGGAAGCACGTCAACTGGGACATTGTGGTGGTAGATGAAAGTGTAAAACAAATATAAAATAATTGACGTAGCGGTGTCGTGGGATTCTCGAGTAAGAGCGAAAAAGGAAGAAAAAACGAAAAATATGGAGACCTGAAAAGAAAATTAGGACATGAATAAAGTTATTGTTATTCCATTTGTTATCGGTGCACTTGGGGCAGTATTGAAGGACTTGGACAAATGGATTGAGAAATCTGGGATTGGCAGGATAATCGGACACGTGGAAAATAGCGTTAATAGGAACAGCGAGAATACCGAGGAAGGTTCTAGAGACCTGAAGAAAATGAACTCAACTTTTAAACCTTTAGTTACTCGTCACATCCTTTCAAGGCGTAAACCGAATTTCCATCTAATCCGAGATTGTACATTTAACAGTAATGGTAATAATCGTAATAATAATAATACTGATGATAATTGTATATTTATTCTTGGGTTGGGGGATGTTCCTAGTAATCAACAGGAGAAGGAAACACCGAGCTGAATCTTGTAGGTTCTATTCTCAGGA